ATATGAATACTGTCATTTCCCTCCCAGATTCAAAATGGTGGGGTTCACATTTGACATTACAGTACAGTTTATAACATCAGTGGGTTTTCTAAATCAAAACAGGATGGATGTTACATATTTTCCATCATGGCTCATATTCTTCAACGTACTTCATTTTTAGGAGGAATTCAAAATAATAGCTGGATATTCAGAATATGTTAAGCCATTATGCGGGTGGTTTGGTTTGTGTCCTGTGTTGTGTAAATTTAACCAAAGTTGGATTTGTTGGAAGAATTATTCTTCTGGGTTCAGTTCCAAGTAGGGAAAAAGACACTGGAAACATGGAGGCTGTTTGGAAAGATGGTTTAATAGTGCACAGGACCACATGGTTTGAAGCTCCAAAGTGAAAAGGGACGATCACATGCTTCAAGATGTTGGGTGAAGGAAAAGAAGAAGGAAAGAGCTGATATGCTGAGAATGCAATTGTTTTATACCCTCTGTTGGGATTTAAATTGGAGCTTGTATTATGATTGGTTGTCAGACTCCCATGAGGCCATGCAGGGGCAACTCTGTAGGCTGTTCTGAGTCCCAGGCTTGGTTGACCCTTGCTGGATGATGATGTAATGAAAGGGCTTTGGGCAATTCCTATTATAGTTCTACCTGAAGAAGATCTTTGTTATGTAAAATAGACTGGCCTAGGCCAGAGTAATGGTCCATTAGCAAAGGTGGGGGGACTGAGTTTCTGCCTCTCTGAGTTTCTACTATTCTTTTTAGGGGAAATGTTTCTGCCTTTTTTTGTATATCCTAAAATATTTCATTTTCCTAGGAGAAGAGGTGGGTTTTAACTTCCAACAGATTATTCTAGAAAACACAAGTGGTTTATTCTCACAGCATACCAACACCATTTTTTCTCTCCTTCTGTTCAATTTTATCTGATTCTTGAAGATGGTGTCATTGAGGGAATGGGATGGCCTGGAAGAGGGACAAGCTGTAGGTACCTGAAAGTCTACAGATGAAAGTCTTGCAACGAAGCCATGATGCTAAGCAAGCCGGCCACTTCGGGTTCCTAAAAACCTTACACCTGACCAAACGACAATTCTGGTGGCCAGGCATGGAAAAGGACATAGAGAACTATGTAAAAAGTAGCATTGTGTGACTCATTGGTGGGATTCAATTTTTTTTACTCCCGGTTCTGTGGGCATGGCTTGGTGGGCATGGCAGGGGAAGGATACTGTAAAATCTCCATTCCCTCCCCACCCCACTAGCCTGCTTTCCAGCTCTGTTCTCCTGTGCAGGGCAACCAAAGAAGACCCAGCCAGTCAGCTGGGACTCGGGAGGCAGAGAATAGATGGAGACAGGGCCAATCAGAGGTGGTATTTGCCAGTTCTCTGAACCCCTCAAAATTTCTGCTACCGGTTCTCCAGAACTGGTCAGAACCTGGTGAATACCACCTCTGCTGTATGTGCTTCCATGAAATGGAGACCAGGGAAGATCTCGGGATTGTTACAGCAAGTGGCTGAGCCAACTCAGCCTTGGGAAAAAATAACTATGGACTTCACAGTAAAACTCCCAGAAAGTGGGGGGAATACTGTTGAAAAGCTGACAAAATGCCTTTCTTCTGAGGATTCGATTTTCCCACTGGGAGAGCTCCGGTGCAAGGATACAGACAACTGCTTGAAAGCTGGATCTTTTTATGTTTCAGGAAGGCAAGAGATAGCAAGAAGTCTGCATTCCTGGGCTAGCTAGCTTTGTATGATAAGTCCCCTGATTTTTATACCCTTTTTTCTCATTTTGTGTGTGTGTGCTTGTGTTTGTATTTTTTAATGTTTTAAATCCTGTCAGGGGTTGTCTTCATTTCGGCCGGAGGGTAAACTCCGCGGGGTGCAGAAGGCAAACTTTGCTGGGTGGTTTGATTGGGTTATCGGTTTCATCCTAATCTTTTTTTTGCTTAATGGTTTCTTATATTAGTTTTGTGGCAATCTCCTGTCTGTCTCCTTTGCAATATATTTTGTGTCTTTTGTCTGTTTGTTTTGCTGATTTGGCATGTCTTGTGTTTGTAAGGGTTTTCTTTTCTTGTTTCCCTAGCTTTCTTAATTACTTGGCTTTTGTCTAGGGGGCTTCTTTCAATACCTTTTATTAAATTTCTTTTCCTATGCAAGTTTGTTTTATGGCTGCTGGCCTGATGTTCCCCTCGGGCTTTTCCTGCTTGGGTGTCACCACTGTCCTCGTGAAGTTCCCTTTCCACAATACTATAATCTGGACTGTAGTTGATTTGTTCTCTAAGCAAGCTCACTTCGTAGCCTGCCCGAGCCTCCCGTCAGCCCAGTGCCCTACATTAAGACTTGTAGGAAGTTAGCACCCACCCTTCTCCTAGAAAAATGAAATATCCTGGGAAATATTAAAAAGGCCGAATATTTCCTCTAAAGAGTAGAAACTTACCTCAGAAGTAGAAACTCACCCCCACCTTGTTAATGGGTGGGCCATTAAGGCCTGGGCCAGAATACTTTACATAACAAAGATCTCCAGGTAAAGCTATAGCAGTTGCCAAAAGCCCTTTTCAGTGCATCATCATCCAGCAAGGCCCAACCAAGCCTGGAACTCAGGACAGCCTACAGAGTGGCCCCTGCAAGGCCTCATGGGAGTCTGACAACCAATCAGAATACAAGCTCCAATTCAAATCCCAACAAAGGTTATAAAACCCAGGCACTCTCAGCACCTCAGCCCTTCTTTCTTGATCTCTTCTTTCACCTTGAAGCATGTGATCATCCTTTTCACTCTGGAGCGTCAAGCCATGTGTTCCTCCTGTCCACCATTAAACCTTCCAAACAGCCTCCATGTTTCCAATGTCTTTTCCCCCACTTGGAACTGAACCCAGAAGGATATTTCTTCCAACATACTGAACAAGTCCCTATAGTTTTCTTGACGAAGTTTATCAGAAGTGGTTTACCACTGCATCCTTCCTAGAGCTAAGCAACAGACCCAAGGTCCCCCAGCTGGCGTTGTGCCCAAGGTGGGAGTAGAACTCATGGTCTCCCAGTTGCTAGCTTGAGGCCTTAGCCCTAACACCAAACTGACTCTCATACCAACATCTGAAAGGATTAGTACAGGTAGCCCTTGATATACAACCACGTATTTTTTCTTGCTAAGTGAGATAGTTAAGTGAGTTTTGCTTCATTTTACAACTTTTCTTGCCACAGGTTGTTAAGCAAATCACTGCTGTTAAGTTAGTAACACAGTTGTCAAGTCCATCTGGATTCTATTAACTTGGCTTGTCAGAAGGTTGTCAAAAGGGCATCACATGACCCCAGATTCCTGCGACCGTCATAAATATGAACCGGGCATCTGAATTTTGATCATGTGAAATTAGGGATGTTGCAACAGTCATAAATGTGAGAAACTGTCATAAGTCACTTTTTTCAGTTCCGTTGTAAGTTTGGTTGCTAAACAAACTGCTATAAGTAGAGGACTACATCTTCCACACAAGGGAAGCAAGTAAAAGTGGATTGTATTGTGCTTGTGTATAAATTTCTAGGTTCTTTAAAGTTTATGATAGACAGAAGTTCAAGATATAACCAGCTTAGGAGCTGTGGCTGAGTCAATATATTGGTTATGTTAATTTGTGATTGAATTATTTTTACCTCTGCTGCTCTTTTTTTGTCTGCAGTTTTTAATACTTTCTTTTTCTCTGAATATTGTTCAGGTAGGTGGCAGAAGGATGGGTGGGTGGATGGAAGGAATCAGTGCAAATGGAAAAAAATGCATTCCTGTAATTAATTATGTGCATTGTCTGAGAGCAGAGGGATTTCCACGATGAAAAAAATTAACAATTTCATCTCCAACACTGCCAGCTTAATGAGGATGACAACGATGATGATGAGGCAAATGGGGATCTTCAGAAACAAACTTTAGCTAATCTAATTATAAATTTGAACTGAACTGCAAGCAGCATATTCAGGGGAAACATAAACAGATGGGCAAAATTAGGGAAAAATACAAAGTCTCCATTATTTCGTTTATGAAGAGTCTCAGTCACCCAGGTCATGGTTATCCCGAAGGTTTTCAAGAGGCAACTGGACTTCAGCTCAAGAACTTCTTGGATGAGAAGTGAAACGTCTTTAAAGAAAAACCAAAAAGTTCAGTTGCCTCTTGCAAAGGCATCTTTGGGATGAGCCCCATTATTTCATTTCTACTCTCTCAAAATGATTTTGAATTAAAAAAATTAAATGAATTTTGCATGCAAATTGCAGAAGTACGGCTTTTGCTCGAAAAAACAAACTAACCCGGGGACACTTAGCATTCTGCTGCTACTCGCCAGTCGTTCGGATTTTCTAACCCAGTTTTGGCAATTTTAGTTCTAGGGTGGCGGTCGAAGCTTACGGCGCCTTGCGGTAGATCCCTGCATTTCGCGCCATATTAAACAATATTATTTGCTATGAACGGCAGCGACTTAAGCGGAGACAATAAACAGACGGTTAGAAAACTCAGATAAGAAGGGCTAGACTTGAAAAGCAACTCTATGGCAATACTCTCTAGCCTGGCGTTTCCCCTCTCTATGATCTTTCCCCCCCTGCGTCTTTCATTGGTTCTGGGACAAGCGGGGTGCAAAGGTAGGACCGTTTACTCTCCCTTCTTCCAGGACTCGAATGGTCCAATCAAGAGAAGGAAGGCTTTTAAACGGCAGCGGAGTGGACGAATGGAAACCTTTCCTGCCGAGAGAGGTGGGGCGCGCCCAGAAAGAGCGATCGCCCGCCTTCGCCTTTAGGGTGCCCGGAGGAGGAGGGGGAGGAGGGGGGGTGCAAGGAAGGTAATTTGCCCCCATCTCCTTTTCTGATTTTTTTTTTTAGCTGAGGACCCCGCTTCCCCGGCTTCCCCGGAGTTTAATCGGGAAAGGGCCGCTGAGACTTTAAGGCTTAAACGGCCATGCCTCTTTTATTTAAAAAAAAAGTTGGCTGCCATATAAGGTGGGGGGAAAAAACCAGGAATTGGGGGCACCGCCAAAGTAGGAGAAAGGAGTAATGCAAGGAAGGGAAAACGGCGATTCGGGTGTAATAAAGCGCGGCGGGGCGGGTTTCCACTCTGCAGGAGAATTAAAGTCCTTTCTTTCAATTGCAAGATGGAACAAACTCAGTTGCTGGAGTGGGATGGAGAAAGCGACTCCCAGGACAGGTCTGATGGTGCAGGGGAGACCCCTAAGCCGGTGGGGCGCCTGCATCTGCTGAGCAGCAAGTACGGCCCCGAGAAAGGTAAGGCCTTCTGGAGCTGCCTTTGCTTCCTGAGAGCTACAGGTGCGCTGGTGGCTTCCAGGTTTGTGGATTTCCAGGTTTGTGTGAATTCTACCGTGTCGTGCAGTATTTACGCAATATCGGGTTTTCAATTCAATTGTAGAGGATGGGAAGGGGTGTGTGTTTGTGTTTTATTTTTATGGCTATAATGTACACTGAAGATGGCATTTAATTTCGTTGTACGAGGTGCAGTGACAATAAAAAGTAAACTAAAACTAAACTGATTACAAGAAACAATGGTTGGAAACTAATCAAGGAGAGAAGCAACCTGGAATTAAGGAGAAACTTGCTAACAGGGAGGACAGTTAACCAGTGGAACAGCTTTGCCTCCAGAAGTTGTAGGGGCTTCTCACTGGAGGTTTTAAAGAAAAGACTGGAGAGCTACTTGTCTAAAATATTACTATAGGGTCTCCTGCTTGAGTAGTGGGGTTGTACTAGTGACCTCCAAGTTTCCTTCCAACTCTATTCTGATTGATTGATCACTCCAGATTCATATTTACTGATATGGAAGTGTATTTTGCTGTAGAGTGGGACAACAAGCCATGGTCTGTAATAAGATATGTTACAATGTCGGCCTACAGTATGTTTGCTTGTTGCTATTTCCCATGAATGATGGGTTCTTGGTATTCTCTGTGTTTGCTTCACTTCCTGCAAATGTTTCATTACCAGCCTGCGTAACTTCATCAAGGTGTGGGGGAGTAGTTGTAGGCTGTTTACACGTGCTAGCCTTGATAGGGTATTATTTCTTCCTTGACTGTTTTTTGGATGGGACATTGCTTGGGGAAGGACTGATAATGAAATGTCTGCAATAAAACAAACAAGCTGAGAGCACCAAAGTCCCCTCATTTCAACCCTGAGCTACAAATATTCTCTTTTATCTGAATGATGTTTCTTCTTTGATTGGTCTTTGATTGATTGTTTCTCTGGAGCCTCTTGCTTATCTGGGTGTTGGCTAATTGGCATGTGATAAGAGGAAGTGATGAGGGGTTTGGGATAATTGCTCCTAGCCTTGAACTGGCTTCCTTTCCTGAAAGGGTTTGTAGTGAGAGTTTACAGATTTCAGGGTGTTTCTTAAATGGTTGATTCCTCAAAGTGCTTTTGCCTCTAAGAAGTCTCTGGGATTTTTGATCTGGCTTGGTGCAAGATGTTGACAGCTTCCCCGATGGAAATGTATGTTTGAAAACAAAGGAGTTTTCATATCTTCCAACTCCCAGTTTTCATGGATGCGTTTTTCTGTATCTGCCCCCATTGAAATAACACTTAGTTTTCTTGGCCTGTTGGCTTTTGAGTATGGTTGGGATCTTTTGGATAAATTCTTGTGGCTATTGTGGTGCCAGGGAATGTACTAGTTTAAGAGTTGTTTTTCATGTATGGCAGAGATCTTTTTCATGGACTGTGTAGTTGGTTTCGTGGATAATTACATTTTGAGGAACCCAAAGGTGCTTTTTTTCCAAGAGGCAACTGGACTTTCTGGTTTTTTTTTGAAGACATTTTTCTTCTCATCCAAGAAGCTTCTTCAGCTCTGTCTGGGTGGTGGGGAATGGAAGGATTTATATTCCTTGCAGACAGCTGGTCATATGCATTCTTTAAGCTGACCAGATGCCTGCAGTTTTCTTGATGATATTTTTGAAAATGGTTTGCCCTAGCCCTCTTGTTCTAGGGAGGAGAGTGACTGGCCCAAAGTCACCCAGCTGGCTTCTATGTCCAAATCAAGATTAAAACTCATAGTTCCCTAGATTCTATTTTAGCACCTTGACTTAGATCAAGCTGGCCCTCATTTCTGCATGGCTGGCTCTGTTATTCCATGAAAAAACCATTCTGGCACAGCAGTAGGCTAGCCCCAAATTTAAAACAGAAACCGCTGTGAAAGCCTGACTCACAGAACAACACTATACAGAAGCCTGATGGTATTCAGCTTTGTTCAGATATTTTCCCACGTCATTATAGTTGTGCTTTTAAAGTTGTAGCAACGTTTTGGCAGAAACTCATCTGCCATCATCAGGTTTCTGTACTGTGTTCGTCTGTGAGTCAGGCTTTCACAGCCCTTTCTGTTTTAAATTTGGGGCTAGCCTACTGCTGTGCCAGAATGGTTTTTTCTTCATCCTGATTGGTTGGGAGTCTTGGTCTGTGTTTATTAGTCTTAGAGTTTTCTGTGTTCTGCTTGATTGGTGTTTCTAATATCTTCTGTCTGTTTTGTGGCTTTTTTTGTCTTGATTGGCTGGCAACATTGTGTTTCCTGTATTGGCAACACTGTGTTTCCTATATTTCCTGTGTTTCCTGTATATAATATACATACATATATATATATATATATACATACACACACATACATACATATACGTATACGTATACATATACATACACACACACACACACACATATATATATATATGCGGCATTCAGCTTTGTTCGGGTATTTTCCCACGTCATTGTAGTTGTGCTTTTAAAGTTGTAGTGACGTTTCAGCAGAATCTCATCTGCCATCATCAGGCTTCTGTATGCCTGATGGCAGATGAGATTCTGCTGAAACGTTGCTACAACTTTAAAAGCACAACTACAATGACGTGGGAAAATACCCGAACAAAGCTGAATGCCATACATGTAAGAACCTGTGAAAACTTAAGAAAACATATATACATATATATGTATACATATACATATACATACACACACACACACACACACACACATATATATATATATAGGGGTGGGATTCTACCAGTTGGCACCTATTCTCTAGAACCAGTTGTTAACATTCTAAGCAGTTTGGAGAACTGGTTGTTAGAAGAAATTACTGGCCTAATCCTGTAAGGAGGGCAGGAAGGAAACATTCTGGTGTTGCTTACAGAAACTGCCTCTCCATTAGCCCTTATTATATTCTTGGCAGGACTAGACTTCCTGTCTCTGGAACTCTTCTGGAGTTTTTTTTCCTCTCCTTTGCTGGTACTTTGCTTGTGTGGAGTGACCATTCAAAGGTACAATGGCACTGACAAAAGTGACTTATGACCATTTTTCACACTTACGACTGTTGCAGCATCCCCCCAGTCATGAAAGGCCAGGGGTGGAGATGGGTGCCTCAATGTGAGTGATATTGAGTTGGCCACACCCAGCCAATAACATGACCACCAAGTCATGTCCACCCGGTCACATGACCACAAGCCATGCCCACCAACTAAACCACACCCACAGAACCGGTTGTTAAAATATTTGAATCCCACCCCTGTATATATATATGTGTGTGTGTATGTGTTTGTGCGCACACCCTCATGTACGATTTTCATAACTACTCAATTTGAATATCATTGATTTTCCTCGGGTTATTCACTTGATTTAACCACATGCTTAAGTAAAACTGTGTTTCTGGGGCAACCATGAAAGAAGGGATATTGGCATTGGGGGTGAGTGGGGGGAATCAACAAAGTCAAGATGGCGGCCACAACCAAATCAAAGCGCCGCCCCCTGTTTATATTTATTGTGATGCAATTTTAAAAGGGGGTGGGCTTTTGGTCACATGGTTGTGGCTGTCATCTTGAACGTTTTGTTTGACACTCCGACACGGAAGTAAAACAGATTCAACCAAAGTAGATATTCTTCACGTATATTTTCTCTGTTTCTAGATTTCTGGATCTACCCTGGCGAGAACACCATTGGCCGCTTGGAAAGCTGTCATGTCTGTTTGCCTGCTAATTCTGTTTCCAAAACGCACGCGATGATCGAGGTGCTCTCTGCCAAGGGGCCCCACCTTTTGTACGATCAGGGCAGCTTGAACCGCACTCGGCGCCAGCGGATTACTTTGATCCCTCAGGTCCGGTACAGCCTCCAGGATGGAGACACCTTGCTCTTTGCGGACATGGGATGCCAGTACTTCATCCTGGTCCCGGATACCGATTGCAACTCCCCCAATGACTCCATGGCGGTGCCACCGACCCAGGAAAGAGTAGAGGCCAGTGCGCTAGCCATTGAGGAAACACCTGCACCTGGCAGGAGAATAGGTTGTGGGCAAGTTCTGGTCCAGGACTCCGACAAGGAAGAGGAAGGGGAGGAAGTGATCAATGGGAGAGGAAGCTACCTGCACCACGCCTCAAAAGAGGGTAAGGAAGTCGGTGTTCAGACTGGGGGCTCTATGACCACAGCGTTTGCTTTGTGACTGCTTGGTTGTAAGATTGGGTCAGTTATATTATTTAGCATATGCCAAACTAATGGGTCGGTCACATGGTGATCTGCTTTACAACCGTCACAACTTAAGTCTGTATTTGCCAAGCTCAAGGTACGGTCATAAGTCAATGACTTATATTTTGAGAGAAGGGCAGCTGTATGTTATTGTTAGTTGCGAAGTCGTATCCGCGAAGTCGTGTCCGATCCATCGCGACTCCTGGACAACGTTCCTCCAGGCCTTCTTGTCCTCTACCAAGGCCCAGAGTCCATGTAAGTTCATGGCAACTGCTTCAGTGACTCCATCCAGCCACCTCATTCTCTTCCCTCCCCTTCTTCCATTGCCCTCAATCTTTTCCAGCGTTACGGTCTTCTCCAGTGAATCCTTCCTCCTCATGAGGAGGCCAAAGTCTTTGAGTTTCATCTTCAGGATCCGGCTTTCTAAAGAGCAGTCAAGGTTGATCTCCTGACCAGTTTGATCACCTTGCAGTCCAAGGGACTTGCAGGCAGCCAAATACATTGATTCCAATTAATTTTTCACCAAAAAAGACCAATCAACATGCATTTTCCCAATAACGTTAAGAAACGTATAGAAAGGCAGTTGATATGGGATGAAATTTTCCTGTGGAATATTTTATGGCATTCCCCCCCCTGTCCCCCCGCCGCTTTTTGAACATTGTTAAAGCGAAAAGAATAGAAAATGCCTTAATGCTGATATTTCTTATCTCCATCTTTACCAACAGAGTCTGTTTGTTCTAACAAGAACGGCACAGGAGAAGGACAAGCGAGTTTGGCTTCCTTTGGTGTATTTTCTCCTTCAACTACAGTGGTGCCTGAAAGGTAGGTCATCATGTCACAAATTCCTTGGGGTTCAAACTGGAATATTTTTGCGTTTTTCAAAAGGAGTGTAAGGCAAGAGTCATGCATCATGTTAAATTGTTACAACCATTATTTAGGGACTAAATAGCAGTTGGTTGGGTTCACACAACGCACTTGAACAAAGAACATGGAATAACAGGTTGGAAGGGAAATTAGAACTCTTCTAATCCAACCCCCTGCTTGAAGCAAGAGACCTTAGACCCGTGATGGCGAACCTATGGCACGCGTGCTGCAGGTGGCACGCAGAGCCATTTGTGCAGGCACGCAAACCCCAGCCAAACTTACCTGCACTGCGCATGCGCGTGCCTCCCAGCTGTTTTTCGGCTCGTTTTGAGGCTGTTTTTGCCCTCCTGGAGGCTTCTGCAGCCTCGGGAGGCCAAAAAATGGCCCTTCCGGAAATACTGGACGTGCCAAAACGGGCCTGTTTTTGGCCTCCCAAAGCTCTAGAAGCTTCCCTCGAGCGTCCAGGAGGGCGAAAACAGCCTCAAACAGGGCGAAAATCAGCTGGGAGGCATGCGAAGTGCAAGTAAGGGGGCGGGGTGTGTGTTGCGTGCGTGGGGGGAGGCGCATTGCATTGTGTGTACCCGTGTGTGCTGTCGTTTCGGCACACCACCACCAAAAGGTTCGCCATCACTGCCTTATACAATTTACACAAAATAGGTGTCCAATTTCTTCTCCGGTGTTGGAGCATCCACAACCTCTGGAGGCAAGCCAGAATTGCTTTCACAATCAGGAGTTTTCTCCTCAGTAGTATGCAGGTTTACCAGTTAAAGTGGTTTGATTGAGAGAAGAGGCTAAATTTAAGCCTGACAAAGCACATTACAACTTAGCATGTTGTGAACATGCCCTGAGTCTGTTGTGGGGAGAGTTAGATTAATCTGTGGAAGGATTAATCCACATCCCTCCAGGGTTAATACATCGTGGCATTTTTATTTTAACTTCCTTTGTAGTACTGGTAGTCCTCGACTTGCAACAGCTTATTTAGTGACCATTCAAAGTTACAACGGCTCTGAAGAAAGTGACTTATGATGACCGTTTTTCGCACACCATGACCGTCACAAGCACCCCCATAATCACGTGATCAAAAATTTGGAGGCTTTGCAAACAGACTTATATTTATGACGGTTGCAGCAGTGTCCTGGGGTCATGTGATCCGCTTTTGCGACCTTGCAAAAAGTCATAAAATGGAGCAAACAATGTTTCACTTAGTCGCCTAAATTTTGGGCTCAAATGTGGTTGTAAACCGAGGACTACCTCTATGTTTTTGATTAAGGCATGTAAGGATGGGCGGTGCGTGACTCTCTGGGTGTTTATTTTCAAGAGACACCCCTCCCCCTGCCCGAGGGAGATGGGTGGTTTGGAAAAAGGAAATCTTAATAAAATAAGGGCTATGTGAACCTTTTTGTTGTGGTGTACCGAAAGTGCACACAGGCTGGCACCCACAATGCAATGTGCCCTCCCGTGCATATTGCGCACAACACCCCCCTATCCCTTTACCTGCACTGCGCATGTGCGCGCCTCCCAGCTGATTTTCGGCCTTCCAGAGGCTCAAGGGAATTTTCTGCAGCCTCAGGAGGCTGAAAAACAGACTTTCTGGAAATACCGGAATGCCCGTTTTCAAATTCCGGAGGGCCTCTGGAGCCCGGGGGGAGCCCGGAGGCTCAAATTTCCGAAAGTCCCATTTTTCTGCCTCCCAAAGCTGCAGAGGCTTTCCTCAAGCCCCGGGAGGGCAAAAATGGCCTCCCCCAGGCTCCAGAAACCCTCTGGAGGCTGAAAACGGGCACTTCCAGTATTTCCTGACCACCAGGCTGCTGCTTTCCATTTCTTTCGTCTTCTGCTTTTGGCTGCATGCAAGGAAAGCAGCAAAAGTCTTTCTTTCTCTCCCCCAAACTCCACCAGAAATGAGTCTTTGGGACCCTGCAAGGCATCCTGCTCCAAGAGGCTGCACCATTCTGGTGGAGTTTGGGAGAGAAAAAGAAAGACCTTCTGCTGCTTTCCTTGCATGAAGCCAAAAGTTTCTCTCTCTCTCTCTCTCTCTCTCTCTCCCCCTCTCTCCCCCTCTCTCCCTCTCCCTCTCCCTCCCTCCCTCCCTCTCCCTTTCTTTCTCTCTTTCTCTCCCCCTCCCCCCCCCCTTCCTCTCTCCCTCTCTTCATCCCCCGAGAACTGAGCTGGAGACGGTAATCCTGTGATCCCAAATAAAGAATAATTGATCGGTAGGAAAACGGGGTGGGGAATTTTCCTGTAGACTTCTTTGGGGATTTCCTGCTGCTTTTTTCTGCAGAGACCCTGGGAAAATCCCCCCAAAAGTCTGCAGGAAAGTTCCTTACCCTGTTTTCCTACCGATCGGCCGTTCTTTATTTGGGATCGCAAGATACCGTCTTTCCCCCACACCCGAGAATGGAGCTGAAAAGCAGGTTAGGAATGTGGCCTTGGAGGGGGTGGGGATGTGTGAGGGTTCTCTCTGTGTGTTTGTGTGTGTGCACATGCGAGAGAGAGAGAGAGAGAGAGAGAGAGAGAAAGAGAACATCACAACCAGCCCTCTCAGCTTAGATTCCCCCCCCCTCTCTCTCCCACCAACATCAGCAAGCTACCGTCACTCAAAATTCATATTAGTGGTCCGAGGGGTTTAAAATTATGAGTTTGGTGGTCTCTGAGGTACAAAAGTTTGGCAACCCCTGCTTTAAAAGATTGTAACTAAAATACCAGAGCTTTTTACCACGAATATATTTAATTGGAGAACGTGAATGATGACAACCAACCTGTGAACGAGCTCAATTGGAGAATCTGATTTATGACACACCCAGGGGGGAGGGGGGAGAAACACGGTCACAGGTGACTGTAAATTACATATGCCAGAGTTGGCTTCATACATGGCAGTGCCAGTATGGTGTGTTTAATGAATCCGTTGACGCTTTTTGAAGTTTGGCTCCAGAATCATGATTTAATGAGGGCGATTGCTGGAATCCTGACAATCAGCTTCGGTGATCTTCTCACAAGCAGAGTCAAGGGGGAAGCCAGATTCACTTAACAACTAAATGTCTGTTGAGATTCTCAGTCATCCAGGTCACGGTTGTCCCAAAGGTGCTTTTTTTCAAGAGGCAAAGTCCAGTTTTTCACTTTTTCAGAAAGTCCAGTTGCCTCTTGAAAAAAAGCACCTTTGGAACACTTAACAACTAGGTTAGTAAACTTAACAATTGTGTTGATTCATTTAACAACTGTGGCAAGAAAGGTTGTAAAATGGGACAAAACTCACTTAACTGTCTTGCTTAGCAATGGGGCTTTGGGACTCAATTGTGGTCATAAGTCGAGGACTGCTTGTACATTAGAATCTCTGCCGTTGTGGAAGGCAGTCAGTGAAGAATCTGGTAAGGAAATACCTTGTAAATAATTACTCACTGGGTTGTGGCTGCCTCATAGGTAATTAAATGATACTCAGTGGATAACCAAGTACAGAAAGATTTGAAATCTATAGTGCTGAATTAGCTATAGACTTTGCTGGTAGAAGTTGTGATGATGGCAGCCAATTTAGATACCTTTAAAGAGGATTGGGAAAAGTTGAAGGAGGATTAAGTTATCAGTGGCTTATTTATGGCTGTTTACAGCCTCCGGAACCAGAGGGAGCCGGTCTTTAAGGTAGTTTACTAGGTAGCAACAGCAGATGGGAACTTTTGCCCTCCAGTCACAGCTTGGGAGCATCTTTAGTGCATCCAGATGGTGTCAACATGACCAGGTAGCCAGACAGAAAACATGGCCAGATAAGCTTATTCTGGTTTGTTGTATTGGGAGGTGCGATGGCTCAGTGATTAAAGACAATTAAAGATGATCAAAGACAATTAAAGATGCTGAGCTTGTCAGGTGGAAAGCTGGCATCCCGGGCTCAAGCGCCGATGGCTAATGGGGTGAGCTCTCGTTCCTGACCACCCTGCAATGTGGTCGGATCTGGCCTGCGGGGCAGTCCTGGTCTACCCAATGCGAAGAGGAAAGATCAGGCTAACATGGCTTCGGCCCAGTCTACCCCATCCAAAGAAAAAACAAGCCAGCAGTTTGGGGAGTGGTACCAAGCTGGCTATGCCCATCCGGTTGGATACACTCGCCCGAGGTCAACCACAACCTTGATGCGGCCCTCAATGAAATTGAGTTTGACACCCCCGACCTAGCAATTCTAAAGCATGTAAATGCGAGTAGATAAATAGGTCCCACTTTGGTAGGAAGGAAACAGCGCTCTTGTGTGCTGCAGTC